TGCCAGTTAACCCTATTATTCCATTACATAAAAGCAATCAATGAAAGACTCTCCTCGAAGTTAAGGAACAAAGCTTAGCTTCTCAAGATTAAGTTTTCCAAAAAAAGTAGATCAACGTTAGAACAACCTCTTTCAAGGTTACAAAAATCCTTTAAAAGCTTCATAGTAAAACCCCAGCTAGGAGTACATTATTGGAGCTCATCATTTCCAGAATTCACATCTAACTCCGTAATTGGGCACTCTGGTCAAAGAAACTAGCTAAAATCAAAGCCAGCCAAAGGCAAGAAATGAATCTGTGCGTGGCAAATCTTACAGGGTTCTTAGAAATCCCTGCAGTAGCCCATCAAGCTATAGGATGACTAAATTTTCCTATAAATTGGTATATGACAGACTAAATCTTAATAACTTTTGATGTAAGAATTTATTTTCAAAAAAATGTGTTTTTTCTATGTTCTTGCAATCTATAAAAATTTAGTGTCCCACCCCTCATCCCTACCCTAATGAATCTAACATAAAATAGATTTGAATCTTCTGTTGCAAGAAAAGCACTGGGCGCATGGGTACAGTATGCAAAACGTAACAGGCATGACAGGGAGGTTTGTAAGACAGAGGGAGCAAAGCTGAATGAACAGGGAATGTGGGCAATCAAGTGAGCTTGGTGCTGGCTGTCATGAGGAAAGAGGAGTGGAAATGTGTAAGGACATGACACACATGTGTGCACTGCCTGTGGTGCCTGGGAGAGAATCTCAGCACAGCCCCGAGAGGGGTGACTGGAGAGGCAGGTGGTGGGAGGGGCTGGCTTAGAGGGGTGTGTGTGGTGTGCCTCCCTTTATGATAAGGGCAGGGGCAGGAGGCAGGAAGAATGAACTCTTGGAATGAAGACATTAAATCTGAAATGGAATCACCTTGCTAAAAGTGCAAGCCACTCTTTCTTGGTGCACACACAGATCTGCTTCTATAGCTTGAGTTCATGCCCTGCATGGATTCTCCATGGTATTCAGAGAATCCAACAATCACCGACCTCCGCAGCTACTGACAAATTGTGTTGTTCTCATCTGCTAACTTGGTCTTGCTCAACATCTCCAACAAAAGGCATTCAACTGCCCCTTCTCTGAGAGGAATTTTAGTTTTCTTTACAGAAAAGAATAATGAGTAGTATACTCTTTTTACACTGAAGTTGCAACACCCACCACATGTGCATTTAAATTACTCACTCCTTAAGCAAGAAAAGGACATGGCATTTCAAATTATCCCACTGCCCTATGTACAGAATTTATAAGTTTCTACCAAGTAACAAGTAACTTAGCCACAAATTATGCAAATAGAAAAGGTAAAATTCATGTCAATAATAGCTCATAACTGGACTATTAAAGAAAAACTGACTTTTTATGCCTTTAATTTCTTTTTCCTGCCATAGAAAGTATTGTAGATTTCATCTTTTTTTAAAAATATAAGATCATACTTTAGTTTTGACTGTATCATTTTGGGACACTACATATATTATTAGTAATTGGATCCCGTTAGAGACTTTGGAAATAATTTTGTATTTAGAGACTGGGTCTGAGTAATTTTACAGAGTTCTAGAAAATAAAAAGGCATCTTGTTTGTTTTATATCAACATTCTCCAGCTCTCAATATCTAGGACAAAAAAGTTTTAAAATGTATGCTTACCTCTACATCACAGGTATATTCTGATCCATCCAGAAGTATCACTTTGCACTGCATGCTTTTAGGCTTTTTGACTATCTTTAATGGAGACCTAGAGAGTTTACTGCTAGATGATCTCTGAGAAAGTTTATCGTCTTCTAATTGCTGATATTCGAGCTGTTTTGCAGCCCTGGCAGCAAACTCCTGTTCCTTATCAGTGACCTGTGAAGAGCAAACAATCGACAGTTTTCATGGCAAGACAGGAAATAAATACTGCATTGTTCAGGCAACAGCGTAAAACTTTAGAAACAGACTGCTTTCCTATTCCCTGGAGGATGAGAGATGTCTGAATTAGAACATTAGGAGTGGATCTACATATACAGATATTTATCGAATATAACATAATGCTAAGTTTTACCCAAATAATTTTTGCCATTTAAATATACCAATCGGGCCTTATTTCAGTTTAATTCCAGGATTTACTTTAGAAGCACTGAGTTAGCAAATGCTATCAAGATTGCACTAAGCAAAGAAGGAAAAATTGATTCTTGACTTTTAAAAAAAGCATTGGATAATACAGACCTCTAAAACACATCATCTAGATTTTTGTCTTATATGTTGTACTTTCTTAATTCACTGAATCTTATATTCCATTTGTTATAACCGCTGCATCCATATATATACAAAGCATCTGATAAACTGTAAGGCCTGGAAAACTTCACGAATTAATCTTTTCAGTGATTTCACACCTGTTAAAATATCTGATTTAGTTCTAAGTCAATTCAATGAAGTCAGTAGCACTGACATTCATCACAAAGCAATCCCGTGTCTGTTTCCCTTCATTGTTATGAACCAGTATAAGGACGAATTAAATCTATCCAAAAGCTTTAATTTGCTTTCAAATCACAACAGACTAGTCCAGCTGGCCTTAAAACTGCAGAGGACATTCTATGTAACAATAAAATTCTCCCTGAACCAATCTTCTTGGAAATCTCTGTGCACTGATCTCCGACTACTCCCCCTACACTCCTCTTTTCCTTGGGTCAGACTACCATTGCCACTAGTCCGCAAAAAAGCACTGAGAGTCCAAAGAAAGATATGGCACCAAAATTCAGGTTAGGGTCTTGAAATAAGCACGAATATACTATCGGCCTGGTGCTAAACCCATATGGGCTCAAAGAGTAAAGACAGTATTGACAGTTTATCATTTCAACTTTTCTATTAGCCTCCACAATTTTACAACACTCTACTGTAATTACAAAGGTATTTTTGGCATATTTATTTTGGATTTTAGATGCATATTTCTGCCTTGTCTGTCTTGTTTTCCATCCAGAAGATTGCTAAGATAGTCCTTTCTTCCACTACCTTGCCCAGGAATTCAAGGCAAAGTCTTGAGAAGTTCTAAAGGATAGAAAGAGACCAATCTGCTGAGCTTATAAAAAGAAACCAACAAAAAACTGAATAACCAATTTCAAAGGTTAGAATAGTTGAGAAGGCAAGCTTCAGCTAAACCAACTAAATAAACCAAAGAAAACCTGCTCTGGCAACTCGGTCCAACTTTTTCGACCATTGGGCTGGCTTTCCATACCAATGCATTAAAATAGTAAGTTCAAGGAAATCATAAAACTGCCATCAATTTTGGCCTTGAAGTAGCTTAAGTAGAAGTTTGGTAACCTTGGAATTGTATATCAACAACCATAACACATGTCAGTTAAATGTCTTATAATTTACACAAGACTCTTGTACATTTAAGTTATATTTTTAATCTCATCACAGGCAAAGGTCATTAAATTCCACATTTTTGTTTAAATTTTACCTGGAATAAACTTTTTCTACTGACTAGGAGATGAACTTCACTTTTCTTCTACTAAAATAAAAATATCTGTGTGAGAATAAACTTTCTGGATTACCTTAAAATGTCAGCTCCAGAGGTACCTTAATCCACCACCAAAGGACAGGCCTTGTTTCTGGGAACACTGGAAACATGAACCCATCATGGAGGCTCTTACACACATTTTTTAAATCAATTGTAACAACTCTAGAAGAGCAAACCAAGTACCTCAAACGAAATGTCATTCATGGTCATGATGCATTATAATTTACAAATTTTGATATCAACCATTTTAGCAAATCCTTGATCTCATTTAATTCTCATAGGAGCTCTGTGGCATAGGCATTACCACCCACATTTTCAGATAAGGATAGACATACACAGGGAGCCTAAGAAACTTTCCAAAGGCCACAAAATTAGTAAACTCGAACTCGAATCCAGCCAAACCCGTGTTTTACTTATCCCTGTATACCAAAACGTACTTTGTTTTACGGCTTCCTAGTATGAATCAAAGAATTCTGTGGAACAATCCTAGAAATGATCTCTTCTGAACCTTCATTTTGTAGATGAGAAGGTTGAGGCCCGAGGGCTTAAATAGGTTCTCTGAGGATGGGACTAACTATTGGAAGAGACGGGACTTAGGTCTCTGCCCTTTGTGGCCAGTCATCTTTCCTTCTTAGTATCATTTCTCTTGCTCTGTATCCAACATTTGACCATAGAAGATAAAGAAAGTACATTTAATCATGTCTAGGTATAGATACTCATACTTTTCTATAATAATTTCCTATTTTCATGTTATTTCATTTTAGACTTAAGGGGAAAGAATAAAGAAAACGCCAAACAGTCTGGTAATTTAAAACTTTTCAAGATTAAAAAAATAAAACAAACAAAAAAGAAACTAAACACTACCATCGTCACTCCTACACAAAAAGAAAAGGTAAAGGAAAACAATGACAACAGCAACAGCTCCTTAGATTTTGTTTGCCAAGCTGGATGGGATCTCCCAGCTCTCCGTCACCAAACCTCGGAGATCGGACACAATATCTATTTATAGAGTGAAAATAAATGTTATTACTAATACTGTTTAAAAGTAGAAGCTGCGAAAGCTCTGGAAAAAGAAAGAAAACAATCTGGTGGTAAATACATAGAGTTTAATGCTATATGTTATAACAATGTGTTATGACTTCCAAAGATTTTCACTAATATGCTGGTGTTAGGTCTCTTCTCTCAACATTTTAGAATTTCTAGCTTGATACATACACTTCAGACCTATCAAAGGTTAATCACTTATGCGGACTCCAGATTACTCTTACTACATACAAGTCTGTACTCTGAAATATGTTGATTCCGAGTTTGAAGTTTTAAGACAGAAGACGTTTAAACATGGACTCATTTGAGGTCCAAGTATAAACTATACTTTATTTTTTATATGAAAACTTTTAAAAGATATACCTTACTCATGACAACTCAAACACGTACAGGGAATAAAGATGAAAATATAGACGTATACAGGGGAGGGGAAAAGACCTGCATGAAGGTCCATTAAAAGCAGATGGCATATTAGGGTCAGAATGCTGCCTAGGGAAAAACAAATTAGCTCTACCTCTTAGGCTTGAAATAAAAAACAACCACAAGCATAATTAAAGCTGTCAGTTCGCTATCTTTCCTCTACATCCAGATAGGACCAATCATCTCCAGTCCAGCCTCCAGTGTGAGTTTAAGTGTTTTAAGTAAATGAAGCAGTTACCAAGGAAGGCTGTGGAATGTCATTCACTGAGAGCCTTAAAATAGCACAGACATTTTCATCTGCCCGGGACCAGATGGGGCCAAGCAGATGACCCTCGCAGCTGCCTCCAGAGCCGGCTCACCTCCTTCCGCACCGGGGTGCTGTGCGCGGCAGCGGCGAACTGCTCCAGGGCCTGCCGCTGCTCCTCCGCGCCCGGCGGCTCCGGCCCCGGCCCCGGCCCCGGCTGCGCCCCCGCGCGGCCCTGCGCGCCCGCCGCCTCCTGGGGCTCGGCCTCCTGGTCCGGCTTGGATTCCGAGTCTGATCCGGATTCGGTCGTCATGGTTGATTGTTCTGCAAGCAGGAAAAAGGGAAGATCTCGTCACACCATGCATTTTCCTTCCCTCAGCAAGAAAAGTAGGATGCCGGCCGCGGAAGGCTGAGAGAACCGCCGGGAGAGAGGGAGAGATGCTCACTACCGAGCACCAGCCCAGTCCTCACGCCTAACAGTAAACTCCCCGATTTACCGCCGAGATGGGCGCCCACGAGGGGCTCAGAATTAATATTTAACTAGAAGGAAAAGTAGGTTTGTAATGATCGCAGGTTTTATTCCTATTAGATTTTTTGCCACAGAGGATCGTAAAATGACATTAAAGAATGTCATAATAATTAAATAACTTACATTTAATTTCAGAAAAATGAATTTGCTGCATCAAGTGAATATGTATTTTAATCCCGGGAAGGATAATCTCATAATGGAAGCAGACATTCTTTCTCATTTCCCACCCCCTTCCTCTCCCTACACGGGGGCCTCCTAACCCTTGGATCTACAGACACTTCCAGGAACTAACGTCCTTCCTATTTGATGTCTCCTGATTCAGATATCCCCCTGTGAATGAGCAACCACAGCTACTCTAGGGGCTTCTTTAGGGACATGGAATCTGTCCCACCGTGGACAGGCAGGGCTGTGGCTGGGTGGGGCACAGGGCAGCGTCCCTTCTTCTTCCTTTCCACATTAATTCTCATATTTTTCTTCTTGGCTTCTTCCTATTTCCCTTGAGTGTTAAAAGATGAGTCTGACTCATCTCTCACGAGGAACTCAAACAACAGATCCTGATAATCTGCTGATACAGCCTTAAAAAAGACCTAAAATATAACCACCATCTTCTAATAGTTTGCCAGTCAAGATACTTCACTATTTTGTGCCTCCATTTCCGTATGTGGCAAATGAGGAAACTGAACATGGTCATACCTAAAGCATTTACTTCCTACTGTTATTACTTCCCCCTGCTAATAAGATATACCACTATGTTTTAAAGCAGATTTCTGCTCTAAACAACAAGAAAGCTGCTATGCCAAGTAGATACCGTTAGGTATGTGGGGTAAGTATCTCAAAAACAAGTATCTCATACTGTCATATAATTTCCCTTCTCGATTCTAATTTTATACTAAAATATCACGAGCAAAAAGGTTAGTATAGTACTTTAAGCAAATCATACACCCCTTGGTATAATATAGAATTATGCAAAATAAAACTAATAACTCTATAATAAAACCACCATTTAGCTCCTATCTTCACAATACACATTAGATTATGTTTAATAATTTGAAGAAGAAGGGAATATTACAAATACCAATCTATGTTATAAACTAAATGCTATATCTGTGCTTTCTATTTAGGGTTATTTTTCACAGTCACCAGACATTCTTTCTGTTGAATAAAAGACATATCAACTTGGCATGTGCTCAGTTGCCCAAAGCACATGTAAATATCAAGTCCAAATACAGAAATAGTGATCCAAATAAAACGAACAGACTTTCTTCTTTTTTCCTCTTATAATACATTTTAAGTTTTTAAGCAAATCTTGAAAGTAAATATTATATTCGCTTTTGTATGCTTATCCTGGCGAGTGATAGGAGTACATAGAGAAATAGGGAGGAGGAAAGGCCATGGGTACACTGTGGATTTCAGAGCCTACGATCAAATTCCACCTTTGAAGAAAGAGGATTAGTTTTAATAATCAAGTCAACTCATCAAACACTTATTGAGCACCAAACATAAGCCAAGCACTGTGCTCATGGTTTGGAAACAGAGATGAATCTGTTGTAACCACTCTCCCCACGCTAAGGAGCTCATGGTCCAAGGCAGAAAGACTCTCCCCAGAATCCACTTTCTCCATCTTCCGCTAGTAACTAAGCTTTCAGTTTTAGCAGGTACTCCTCCACCCAGCCTGAGAGGATGATGAGTGATGGCCATGTGATTAAGACTGGATCAGTGAGACAATGGAAAAAATATATGCAATGTTTAGGTCATCTTCATAAAGACAAAGCCACTCACTCTAGATTTCCCTTTCCCATTGGCTGGGAAATAACGATGGACTATCCTCTCTTGCCTGTTCTCCTTTCATGGGACCTCTTAGCAGCCCCAACCCAGGCCATGAGAGTTTCCTTGTTAACATGCTTCTCTCCCTTGGGATTCTGCTTTCTTTCTATCTCTCTGGTCACACCTTCCCACTCTATCTTACAGGCGACTCCTCTACCTAACCTCTAAATACAGCATATCCTGTAAAACTCAATTCTGGGCCCTCTTCTCTTCTTTGTTTACTTTTCTCCCCAACTTATGACATCCTTTCCTACGGCTTTAAATACTTCCTATAAGCCAATGGTTCCCACATTCATATCTCTAGTTCAAACCTCTGTTCTGAGCTTTAAAACTAGTACCCAATAGCTCACCTGACATTCCCCACCTCTGTTCTAAGTTTAACTAGTATCCAATGGCCCAGTGAAATTCCCTGTTCTCTCCCAATCCTGTTTCTCCCCACCCTCATCTTCCTCACCTCAATGGCAATGCCATTCCTTCAAGCCAGAATTCCAGAAGTCACCCCTGACATCTTACTTTGCTTATCTAATATACAACAGAAAGTTTTGCTGGTTCTATTTCCAAGATATATCTTGAACTGGTCCCCTGCCCCCGTACCAGCCACCATCATTTCTTTCCTGAAGTCCTCCTGTCCGTCCAAGTGGTTTTCCTTGCCCCCACCCTGCTGACCTCTGCCCATTCTGTCTAATCATTACAAAACATAAATCCAGTCACGTCACTCACTGCTGAAAACCCTTTAATAGCTTTCCAGTGTGCTTTAAGTAAAATCTAAACTCTTGATTGCCAGGGCCTTCAAGAACATGCCCGAACACCCTATCCAGTGGCCACTGCCTACTCCTCTATCCCACTATGATCCAGCCACAATGTCTCCTCTTAGTGTCTAAATCACGTCAGCGTTTGCTGCCTTACGGTTTTTGAGACAGGGGGAGAATGTTCTTTCCTCTGTTCTTAAGTGGCCAACTCCTTATTCCTTAAGTGTTGACTGAGAAAGGCTTTCCCTGATTACACAGTTATTCTAGCTGTGTCTTATTGTTTCCTACATATAATTATCAAATTTTATAATTATTCTATATTCCCCTGACCTCCTTCCGGTATATTCAAGGGTAGGAACCATGTCTGTTTATACCCCCAATATACTCAGTACCAATGTAATATGGGGAACACAGTACTTCAATAATTTAATTATTTGATAAACTAAATTGCAAAATCAACCTCATTTATTATCATATATGTATGTTTAAAAGTATAACTCTTACTTATAGTCTTTAACCTTTGTAAAATCTCTCAAGTGGGTAAAGAGTAGGTATTTTTATACTTTATAGTTAAGAAAACAGAATTCAGTTAAAAGTTTCAGAAGTAAAGACCTCACAAGGTAAAAGGAATGCTATTGGGCTGTTCAGTCTATGAGTTTACCAGTACAAGGAATGGCTTCCCAAAGACTCAAAAATAAAAGGTTTCAGGTGGTTTACATAATCTCTATCTAAAAAATTAGCAGCATCACTAAATCATGAATATAAAAAGTAAAACATAAATGACTACTAGAAAAGGCATTTAAAAAAAAAAGATTCTCAGTTTTTCCTATGGCAAGACAGTTCTGGCGTATGTTTAAAATAATTTTGGATATCATCAATATCTTACTATTGAATATCACATATAGGATTCTCTGTTGCTATTTTAAGTGGCTCAGCAAATCATAGCTATAACTTAATAATTAGATGCCAGAACTGTTACAGAAATAAAAAACTAAAATCTCATTATAAAATGTTTCCATTCATTTCACTTTAAAACCATTAATAATCTTTATAAACATAATACATGAAAATAATCAGCATCAAATAAGTTGCCATGTATGATGTTGGGTAAATAACTTAATTGTTTAATCTCCTTCTTTGCAGATCTTTCCATTTAAGCCAAGTCCGTCATCTCTCTCATGATCTTCTTTCAATTTTCTTACTACTTTTTAAACATAAGAGTTTTAATACAAATATAGTTTTATTAATAGCATATAACTCTTATATTAATGCACTTCAAATTTTTAATTAAAAAGTTGTCAAATTTGTATTAAAATATGAATCTCTCTAAACACAGGACATTAGTTCCCGGACTTACTATGCATGAAATAGAAGGAACATCTCCATTTCCTTAGCAAAGGAATATCCCAGTTGCAATTTCAGTGTTATTAGTCTAGTCATGAAACCATTTTGCACCTGCTTTTGTCTTAAATCCCAAGACCGTCTCCAAAGCAGAGAACCAGCTAAACACAAGCTAAATAAAAATGCAAAATGAATAGAGCCCAGCAACCACCTATCAACTATTTTAATAATAAAATAACCTACCATTACTTTTAATCTATTAATATGCCATGTAATATTAATAACTTAAATCACAGAACTTCAAACATCGAAATAAACTCCTATGCCCTTATCAAATATTTCCTAGATCTATTATTTTTCCCAGCACTATATGCATAATATAATAAATGAAAATCATTGTTTTTTTAAAAAAATGATTATGCTATATTTTTACTATAGATTGCTGTTTTTAACTAATTTTAATAAAATAAAACTTTCATGGCTATTGACAGATAAAGTAATAAAACATAAACATGTAAGGTTTTTAATCTAGACTCTCACTAGAATCAATATCCAATTCCACAAATCTTAAAGGGCGTAAGTTCTTATCGTACCTGCAAATAAACCAGTGTTGATAGCCTAGATCAGCAAATTTAAGTTCAAAACTTTAACAGTCTTCTTTCCTAACCATATGCCAATATAAGCAAGCTATAAACTTATTTTTTAAATGGAAAAATCATAAACACTTAAAGTGCTTCTAACTTTAACTCATTATTTTAATAAGTTTATAGTGTGCTCCTTCACTCATATACCCAAATGCCAAAACAATTTTTTAAATTAGATTTTCATGATATTTATGTTGCTTTGGTTTGTCTTTATTCTTATTCATTCCTTGCTTTCTG